ATTATATGTTTTTATGTTTACATGTTTACGTCACATGTTATATATATACAGCTGTGTATGTAGGACCGCCCCGCCTGGGGGGGGGGCGGATGCGATCGACCGTCAGCTCGCCGTGCTGCTAGGGGAGCGATTAATTACCGGCGCGAGTTTACGCGTCCTGCTAATTGCTAATTGCGATCGTAATTAAGTGCCGTCCTTTGTTGACGGCACCGCCGCCGGCAGCGGCAGCAGCTGATGACGTCGGCACGCGGCGACGTTTTTGCGACGGCGGAAGGGCTTCCTGTCGCGTTATCACAAGGAAGCCAGTCGTAGCGGCCGACGCAATTCGATTGCTTGTCACGGTCCAACGGTCCGACAGACGGACGGACGGACGGACGGTTTGCCGCTGCCCGGAATTCGAATTTGCCGAAATGGCAGAGGGAGATAATCATAGGAAAAAAGTGCTATCGTCAACGTTGTCGCCATCAGCCGCGCGTGCTGCGTTTGCTTCTGATGAAGCCATTTGTAAAAGGGATGCGAGGGATTTGTGTTTTTTGTGTGGTAAGGCAAGGATTGCCTTCGTTTACGGGTTTTAAGTTCTCTCTCTCTCTCTCTCTCTCTCTCTCTCTCTCTCTCTCTCTGCTCTCTCTCTCTCTCTCCTCTCCTCTCTCGCTTAAATAAAATATAACTCTCTCTCTCGCTCTCTTCTCTCTCCTCTCCCTCTCATCTCCCTCTCTCTCCTCTCTCTCTCTCTTCTCTATCCCCTCCCTCTCTCTCTCTTCTCTCTCTCCTCTCCTCTCTCTACATCTCTCTTCTCTCTGCTCTCTCTGCTCCCTCCTCTCCTCATCCTCTCTCTCTGGTCTCTCTCTCTCCTCTGCTCTCCTCTCCCGTCTCGCTCTGCTCTCTCGGCTCTCTCTCCTCTCATATATATATACACAAAGCCCCCGCTCCCGTCCTCTCTCATCTCTCCTCTCTCTCTCATATACTCCACTCACCTCTCTCATACCTCTCTCTCCTCTCTAAATACAATACTCCTTCGAAAATATCTCTCATCTATCCCTTATTACTTGGAATAATATAAAGGCCGACAGTATCATTTGCTACACCCCGCTGTTATTACTGTGGTTGTTTGCAGGGGAGTGGTGGAGCATCGCACACGTTCACACTTGGCTACATGCTGCGTGTCGGGAGGTGGCCCGGCGCGCCTCGCCACCCCACCGCACCAACATCCACAAGTGAACGGACCGGCGACATGGCGAAT